CTTTTTCAAATTAAATATTCAAATTCTTTACTAATTTCAACAATAATTTACTACTACATATAAAAAATTAAATAAGGGTAAACTAGGAAATACCTTGACAAAAATTAATTTTCCAATGACATTAAAGAAGAATTCTTAATTCGTGTGAAAAATGAAACAAGCCTCTGTAATTGGGATAGAGGGAGTAACAAGATACATATGTTACATGTATAAAGTGAAATTTCGTTTCCCTTCTTGATTTGGGGATTTCGGCCAACGTGCAAGTGTGTAACACAATATGTCATCTTAAAAAGTAGTATGTTAGCTGCACTTGAAATTTGAAATTTTTTATAAGATGTTATGAAAGATGTCACTTGAAATGTTTATTTTTTAATAAAAAGTGACACTGTGTCTTTCAAAATTTTTTGATACCTCAAAATTTTGAAAATGTTACACCCCCTACCTAAACCGCTTCGGTCACGCACTCCCCGAAGTTCCACTTGTTCACCCGAAGTGGTTTCAAAGTGGTTTCCACTCTTGACAACCTCAACATGGCGAACTGCAAGGTGAAGAGTCGACTGAAGCAACCGAAATGTCCCTCAATTCCGAAGCATTCAGATTCCTCCACCGCCACTGTCAGAAAGATATCTGTCAGGATCCCTTTGCCTCCAAAGATCTATTGATGTGACATCTCCATAGGTCTAGTTGATGTAACTTATCAACTCAACTCAGTAGAACTAGTTACCCGTCCACTATAGACGCGGCTAATTGACGCCTATGAGCGGACGCCTCACATCTTCAGATGCATACACGTGTCTCACATCCAGTGTTGCTCTACCTCTATAAATACCCAAGGTTTGGCAAGAGATAAAGGTAATGAAACACTTATAACTTAGCTCTCCATACTAAAACATATATATTTTCCTCCCCACTCTCTTGCATAACTTGAGCATTGTTTCGATCACCCAATGCTGACTTGATCGTCGGAGTGTATGCGGTCGCCACCACCACCGTTGGTTCCGACCGTGTGCTTCTAACCGTGCGTTGTTGTGCGCAGAAAGGATTACGTGGAGTAGCTTTTCGTTGATCACGTGAAGGGTCCAATTCTCGAGGTCAATAGAAAAGATAATAGATTTTAACGGGTAGACTGAAAAAAATGCGTAATTAGACTATTACCTAACAAAAATTAAAATATCATCACATAATTAGCACTAGATATTGGTTTTCAACTTCCTATTAATATATTTTTATATTTAAATGAGAAAAAAATAAATTAACTTATATTTGGAAAATAAGGTGGATAGCGTAGTAATATAAAAATTTGATCACATTATAGTGACGATTTAATGATGAATCTCCACGGACTATAGAAACGACGACGTCCTCACTTCGTTCTTATTTTTCTTCTCCTCCACTCCGCGAAACCCTACCTGCAAACCCTAAGTAAGAATTTATTCTGTTAGATTTAGTATTGTTATCTCCATTGATTTGTTTTGCAATGAAGAAATTCTGATAAACATGATTATAAAGCAAGATCACACCACCAGTTCTTCCGCCAACGCGTGCGGCAACTGCGGTGTGGAGGAGCGGCGGCTACTCCACCACGTCCGCCACCGTGGGATCTTCCGTCGGCTCTGTTCCACCTGTGTCCTCCGCCTTCACCCTCAATCATTCTGCCCCTCCTGCTTCCAGGTCTACCCTCCCTCTCCACCACACGACTCCATTATCACGTGTTCCAAATGCTACTCCTCTTCCCACTCGTACTGTGTCACCTCCCCCGCTTCTCCAGGAAACCTCTATATTTGCCCCCTCTGTGTTAACCCAAACTCTCCAATTTTTAACTTGAAAAAGGAAACGGAAGCGAATGTTATTGGCGAGGGTGAAAGTTTGGACGTCAGTGGAAATAGTGAGGTTTATAGGGTGATTGATAAGACTGCAGCGAAGACCTTGTTGGCTGCAGCAAAGATTGCCGCAGCGTCTATGTCTAAGGCTGCTGTGGCAGCAAGAGTGGAAGCTGAGCGGAGGGCGAAGGAGGCTGCATTCACAAGGAAAAGGGCAAGAGAAGCATTGGAACATGTGGCATACTTGGTTGTGAGGGAGAAGGTAAGAAAGAAGGAATCAGCTCTGTCGATATCACCTCCGGTTTCCAGGCTTAGTGCTGGTGAAAATGTGCCTCATTTGGGTGGTGGAGGTGGAAGTGGTGGGAATATGGATGATCTGGGTGTTGGTATTGGACACGCGACTAGAGAAAAATGTACTAATGTTAATAATGGCAGCGGTGCTAGAAGTGAAAATGCGGATGGTGGTGTGAATCCGGTGGCAGTTGTGGAAGAGAAGACAAGTTCAACGGGAAATGTGGATGGATTGGATAATTCAAGTCGGGAGTTGGCAGCATTGGATATTGTGGAGTTGAGGGGAAATGAGAAAATGGGTGGAACAAAGGCTTCAGATGAAGTATCAGGGAAGATTTCTAATGATAATTGTGTGCAAATGGATGTTGAAAAAAATGGAGACATGAGAGTGAGTTCTGGATCCAACGATGGGAAGAATAACGTTGGTGGGGGTGAGATGTTGGCTGATTTAGGTTCTGCTGCAGAGAATCACAATTTGCGTGGGGAGAATATGGAGGAAGTGATTGAGGGGATAGTTTTGGTTCCACGTGTTGAGGATCAGATGCAGCACAAGGAAAATTATGAAGGACAGCATAATAATGGGACACAGCAATAGTTAGGAGGTGTTTTTATGGGTAAGTCATTTGAATATTATGAAAATCAAGATGGACTTGTAACTTTTTTGAATGGTTAATATTCTGGGTGTTTGTTCATTTAGTTATAATAGTGGTTTCTGAATTCAGGTTTTCTGATAGCATGCAGAGGCTAGTGGCTATAATTCTTAAGAATGTGATCAGTATTGTGGTAGACGTAGTGAATTATATCTATTTAGATTAGTAGATTTTTATATTTGTCTATCTCATCAATCTTGTGCCAAGTTTTATGTAAAGATTTTCTAGAGCTTGTAATGATATTCTGTACCTCCCCTTTGTTTTGAGAAATTGAATCTGAACTTTGTTTCTTCCCTTAAATGTATCAAATGGTTATATCTCTCTGTTCTGGTGTTACAGTGTTAAACCAATAGTCTTCCAATTTCTCTCATGGTATTGTCTTACTGAACATGGATTACGAAGAATGATTTATTTCTTAGCATTTTAGTGAAATGTTGGTTCGAAATCTACCAATTGATTGGTAATGTAACTAGTCATTGCACCGAAGAACCTCCTCAAAGTTGGGAAATGGAAATTTGACTTGGCCTGAGTGGTACAGATTTGGTCAAGTGGAGTTTTGTTTGTGTGCTGGACTTTTTAAACCAAAGATAGATTCAGATGATGTTGTCATGTATTTTTATATGCCCAACTGGCAACTGGAATGCCTACACAGTTTGTGTATGCTGGAGTCTAACACATATGCATGATCCGTCTTATGATTCTTATGTTGATTTTCGAAATGTTTTCGAAGAGGTGTCAAAATTATCTATCCAGGTTAGGGGAAGAGTAGAATCAATTTCTGTTTTGATTGTAGAAACGTGCATTCTAAATGCCCTTTTCTATTTTATCTATATTCCATGAAACGAAGAGAAAACTCTTTTCAAGCCTCTGTTATTGAGATGAATTTTACATCGTATGGATGCAATTTTTAAATGAAAAATACTATTATCGCATAATTTTGTGTCTGTTGCTGCATTATGAGACGCTAAGAATGGATTCTCTCCTTTTCCGTTGTGCGGTTGATGTATAAATGTATAATAACAACATGAAATGAGGTATCTGACAATCAATCTTGATGGTGTTGCCTAGACCAGTTTTTTTCATTTCAGAACTTTAACATCTGCCCAGATGATAAAGTTATCATAGCTTCTTCCTCAAGAGCATGAAAACCGGTATTGTTTTGAACAATGAAATATCAAATCCCTCTCCTCCTCTGATCATTAAATAGATTTTTTTTTATATTAGTTTTGCACAGGCTGCTATCATAAAGAAATGGAATGGATCATCCTATCTAGGCTAGCAGGAATCAATTCAGGTTTGCGGCGAACAAGTTGAGCATGGTAGTTTCATGCAATCTACCTATTTAATCCAAATGAAAGAAATACTGTCATTTGATTTGTCAATGTGAAGTCCTGGACACTAAATAATACACAGAATAATCGCAATTAAAGAAATCTGCAATACAAAAAGTGGAAGCACAGTGAGGGGGTAAAGGTGGACTGTGATGTGCAGGCACATGGTGGCTCACACTGAATGGCCCCGAGCATTAACACAAAAGCAATGGGCCACAAAGAAAGCAGGCTTTATGTCCAATTAAAATTGGAAAATAATTAAATCTTTAGCCCCAGTTCGGTGGCGATTAATTTGAAAAAAACTATGTTTTGAATAGTATTTTTATGGGAATGTGTAGTTAAAAAGTAAGGAAAAATGGGCTTACGTGTATAATTTTTTATTGTGTAAATGTGTGGTTGAAAATGAGATGAGCACAAAACCTTTCACCCACAGAACCTCCTCTGGGGGAAACATAGACAGGGATGGAAAGGGAAGAGCTAACAACAGACAAAGATGAAGTGAAAGAACAAAATATATTATTTCTGGGCTATTCATTCATCTCTATTTGGACAATCCTACTATAGCAGGATGATTATCTGATCAAATTTAACTTTTCTAGACATTAGGTAAAGCCACCGGTCTACCTCTACAAGATTAAACAGAATACCTTCTCTACATAAATAATGAGCTAGTAGTAGAAAGTGCAACTAGTGACAACCGAAGTGAAACTTGAGCAGACTACAACTGCGAGCTCTGCTAATTTTTTCACCGTGAAGAACAGTCTGAATAGCCCAAAACTGATATGCTAGTAGAGGGATGAGCTTCTGACCCATTAATCCATTCAGAATGCTAAATCTTGATAATCCAATATGAATTTCCCTGTTATTATGAATGCCGCTGCAGTAAGGCAGCCAATAAAAGGCTGCAAAGAACTTGAAGCAGATGTCGAGGTATCAAAAACAGGAGGGGGGCTATCTCCAAAACTTGTAGGGAATCCTCCTAAAGTCGGACTGCTAGAGTTTAAGACGGATGGAGGAGTACTTGTGCTGAAATGCATTAGATTTCATGGATTACTATCCAACATTGTGAGATCATATAAAACACAGTTTGCGGACATTAGAATTATTCTTTACCTAGGTGGTGTTCCAGATGGAGATGCTGTTGTTGGTGGTGTTGGAGTTCCCGAGACTGGAGATGATGTTGTTGGTGGAGGAGGAGTTGCTGAGACTGAAGATGACGTCGTTGGTGGTGGAGGAGTTGCTGAGACTGGAGACACTGTTGTTGGTGGGGACGAAGAGGAGGACGATGTTGGGAAAATGCAAGATCCCACGCCTATATGTAAATCAATAATGGGTAAACAGTTAGCACTTGAAGTTCTAAGTGACCATTTCATTTAAGAGAGAATTTTCTGTACTTACTAGGATTCACATTGGTTATCGCAGCTGTCCCAGCAAAGTCGCAGCTGGTCTGCACTGGATTCTTCTGATAATAGCTGTTGAAGGCATATGATGCATGGTTTTGCAAAGTGTTAGGATTATAACAGGTAGCGCCCTGCTGGATGGCCGAACAATCTGCTTTTCCAATCCCACAAGCATAATCAAGAGCCGCTTGAAGCGAACTCTGTTGTGCACCAGTCTTTGCCACGCACCAACTCTTCCCCGTAGTTGCTGGAGCATTTGTTGCTGCAGGAGGAGTCACCGGAACGCCTACTCCAGTTGGGCTAGGATAAGTTGTTACGGGGTTACTCACTGGTTGACCCCCCGGTTTTGTGCTCGGGGTTGTAACTGGTGCTGGTGGATTAGCTGGATTTGTATTAGGTACAGGCACAGGGTTTGTAGAGGGAATAGTGATAATTGCTGGTGCTGAATTATTCGGAGACACGGTCACTGTGACTGGGGTTGATGGAAAAACTACATCATGTTGAATCGCTTCATAGTAAAATATTTGTCGTTCTTCAACATCCTTGAACAGATATGCTTCTGTAACACGGAGAATGCAATTATTTTTCGTGCCATTTAGACTTGTATGGTCATGTGTAAGCTTGTTCTAGTCCAAAATCACTCAAAAGTAGCATCTTTGATCACTGGATCTACAAATTAGTATCACATTTAACCATTTACTTTGGCTCTGATCCAAGAAACCAAAAGCACATTTTCTTCACTTGATTTTATTACAAAAACACATGGAAAAACAATCAAATTTTTTTTCTTAAAAAAAATTTCTCCGAAATCCTATAATCACCAATAACTTGAGCAAGATCCACTAATGGTATACAGCAAATGCAATATACAGATTTAGTACTTACCAGAAGAAGGGACAAGAAGAGTAGACAGGAAGAATAAAAACAGAACCTCTGAAGCTGGAATAGCCATTCGAACCAGAAACTGTTTTTGGGTGTTTTTGGATACAGGAGAATAACCAAATGGAGTGTTAATATGAGGGTTTTCACAAAACATGACACAGATATGAAAACATGGTCATTGAGAGAGTGTGAGAGGGAGAGTGAGAGTGAGTGTGGGTGTGAAAAGGTAAAAGGAAAAGAGAGAGGATTGGTGTGACAAAGGCATTAAAAAAGAAGGGTGATTACTTTGTTACTAACGAAGTTTGAAAATGTTGTGCCTCTAACATAGAAACAATTTTTAAAAAGGCCTTTGGATAAATGGCATGGCAAGGTGGTGTCAAATGTTTGGCTAACCTTAAAACTTTCTAATTTAAGCGTGTTTAAATAAGTTACAATTTTTTAACAATAAAAAAAGTACTTATTCTTACAATTAAGTAGATGGTATATTACATTTAGTCCCAATTTTTAGTGTCCCTCCACTTTCTATGTACAATCTTTAAAATCGTAATATCCAAATCTCAACGTTAACTATTTTACCATTTTCAATCAAACATTGTGTTGATGTATCAAGTAGAAAGCACATAGTCAATTTTTTGAGAGGGAAAAGCATCTTGACAATATTAAAATTGCACTTTTAGCACCCAACATTTAAAATTGTAATTTTCAATCCCCAAGGTAAAATCAGATTTGCATAAACAGTCCTTTTTCATCACTCTCTATCACATTTGGCGTTAATGTCCCGTGAAATGCACGTGGTTAATTTTCAGAGGACATGTCAATTGTGGTAGAATGTGATAAAAAGGAATAATTATGCCATAGGAGTTAAACAATGGGAATTGAAATGAGTGATTTTATAGTCTGGGGATGAAAAACATAAAGAGGCTAAAGAATAAGGATTAAATATACAATTTTTCTAGATAATGCATAATCTAATTAATAATTATCAATAAGTTACTTTCTTTATTGCCTTTCATTTCTTTTATTATTGTTACGGTCTTATTCGGATATAAAAAGCAAGATAGTGGGACCATCCATGTGATTTTTGTCGAATAAAAAGTACCCTGTCAGCCGAAAGCAAAATAGAGGCCGTTACATGATTTTAAAATTTCAACGAATGTTTCAATTTTCAAATTAATGATTGACTGATATTGTCTGCTTTTGACATCTGAGAAGCGAGTTTTTCAAAGAATATATAATTAGAACATGTTTGGGAGTGATTTTGAGATTCGATTTTTTGACCGTTAGAAGAAAAGTGGGGTCACTTGTAAGAGAAGAAGTCAAATATGACGGCTGAAATAGTGAAATAATGGTCAAAAAATCAATTTTTTGAAAAAAAAAATCACTCCCAAACAGACTCTTAGTGATTTTGATAATTGATTTTTTGATCTTCAAGAAAAAAGTGGGATCACCTGTGAGAAAATAAGTCAAAAATTACTGCTAGAATAGTAAAATAACGGTTACAAATTTTTGGAATGAAAAATTACTTCCAAACGGGATCTTAAAAAGTAAGGAAAAATCATAAGTTCATGAGTAAAAGTATTTTGATGAAAATTAATTTTGAGAAAATCAAAATTTGGATGCCATTATTCTACCATAATTCATTTTTTCCATCACATCAAGTGGGGCCTACGTTATAGCATGTGAATGA